ATGTTTCTTTGGGCCTGGCTTACTTTACTTAATGTAATTTTTTCCAACTCTTTCCATTTCCTAACAAATGGGGCAATGTCATTCTTTCTGATGGAGGCATAGAATTCCATGTGTATATATACCTCATTTTCTTGATCCATTTATCTACTGAGAGGCATCTGGGTTGGTTCCATATCTTAGCTATGGTAAATAATGCTGCAATAAACATAGTTGTGCTGGTAGCTTTAGTGTCCCCCAACAACAAATCCTCAAAGAAACAACTGTACAATAAATAAGTGGGCTAAACACTTACAGAGAAACTTCTCTGAAGAGGAAAGAAGGATGGCCAATAGATACATGAAGAAATGCTCAACTTCTCTAGCCATAAAAGAAATGAAAATCGAAACAACACTGAGATACCACCTCACCCCAGTTATAATGGTTATAATCAAGAATTCTAACAACAACAGATGCTGGAGGGGATGTGGACAGAAGGGAACCCTACTGCATTGTTGGTGGGAGTGTAAACTTGTTCAACCACTTTGGAAAGTAGTATGGAGGTTCCTCCAAAGACTCCACATAGAGCTCCCCTATGACCCAGCAATCCCACTTTTGGGCATTTACCCGAATGATCACAAACAAAAACATATTAAAGCTACCAACACAACTATGTTTATTGCAGCATTATTTACCATAGCGAAGTAAACACTCTTGTACTATACTAAACAATTTTGGCAAGTAGCATAACTTCCTGTTTTATTTATACCATGGAGATTCAACAAAGGTACTTCTTCTCACAAGTTCCTGCTTCTGGAAGATAAGGCTGAGAGTTAACTAGACAGAGGAAAATAGGAGGTTAGCTGCTAATTTAATTAATGGGCTTAAAAATCTCATTTTTGCAAGATGTATAAGTTCTAGAAATCTGCTATATAATTATCCCTATAATTGACAATATTGTACTATGCACTTGAAATGTGGTTACAAGAGATCTTAACGTAATGAAATAAAAAATTATAAGTCACCCAACCCTTACCCTAAAACCCTGTTAATGTCCTGTCTTATTTTTCATTTTCAGACATTTAAAAGTCTGTGTCCAGATGGCTTTCTCCCTACCACAGTTAATCTTGTTAACTTCACTTTGCCCAATCAATAGTTTTTCTGATAGTCCTTGGGGTACTTGACAGTTAATCAATAGATTAGTCCAGGCACATTAGAATGACAGCTTGAAGATATCTACTTATTCTGCAAGTCAAAATCTATAATTGAGAAAAGTCTCAATATTTTCAGATTCCAACATATCATAAAGTACTTCCAACGATCCATCTCTTAGGGATAAGCTACTGACATCTGTTCTTTCAAAGCAGGACCCCATGTGTTTTATGATTTTCAGATCCCAGCACAGTTCCCAAAGGAAAGCAATGTTAAGACTTCCAACATTTTATCTCAGAGAAAAATTGAAATAGGTTTGCTTTAAAATGTATATATATATGGGGCTGGGAAGGTGGCTCAGTGGTAGAGTGCTTGCCTTGCATGCTTGAGGCCCTGGGTTCGATTCCTCAACGCCACATAAGCAGAAAAAGCCGGAAGTGGGGCTGACTCTCAAGTGGTAGAGTGCTAGCCTTGAGCTGAAGAGCTGAGGGACAGCGCCCCGGCTCAGAGTTCAGGCCCCACGACCGACCAAAAAAAAAGTATATATCCATCACTCATAAATGAATGACAAAAAAAAACATAGTTCTCTTTTTTTATGAGACTATTTCCAGGAGGTTGTTTGAGACAATTTTCACTAGAGGGAGCTCAACACCCACCAGCAGGAGTAGCTAACTAATATGTCACTTCGCTTAGGAAGAAGTCTGGAGAAATAAGACATCAATTTGCAGACATTGGGAAGTCTTATACATCAATTTTGTTCGATTATTAACTCCCGAGATCTTAAATTACATGAGACAAATAATGCACAGCCAATCAATAAGCTAGTATGGTAAATAAGTATGGGATAAGACAAGGAAGAAATATGGCAATCTCCTGGGACATCAACACACTTACTTTATCCCTAAATGAACGGCTCCTTTTAAACAAAACTGGGAGTGAATTCTGTCCTGCCAATAAACCTTTCAAACTGAAACAAACGCCTAAAGCAATTTTGGAGACTGGCAGAGAATCAATGAAAAGATGTTGACAGATGAGGTGAATAATTTCCACACTTAGATATTTTCAATCTCTGTATGTATGTGTGTATATTTACATTATATATATTTATATTCTCTCTATATATAATATATTTATATTCTATATATATTCTTACAAGATTTTCTTTTTTTAAGGACGACTTAGTTTCTAATTTTTAATTATGTAATACCATTTATTCACTACTACAATTCTATAGGTCATTTATCAATGGTCAAGTTACTCACAATTTTTTTTTATATCTTTTAAAGGTGATTAAGCTTTCACAGCATCTGCACTAAGATATTGCTATTTAAAGCATGGTCATCACAGCAACAGCCCTATCCTCACTAAAAGCTTGTTAGAAATAAAGAGTTTCAGGTCCCACCATAAAACTCCTCATCTCACTATATATACATTCACATAATTCCCTGGTGATTGGAAAGGGTTTGCACCCCAGTCCCTGCATTGGCTTGGATTTCAAATATCTCCCCCAAGTCCTGTGTTAAAAGTTTGGTTGCCAGCTTGTGGCAATTCCTCTATGTGCCTTTGCTGCACATCACACCTCCTTTCTCCAGCTTCATCCTCTCCAGGGCTCATCTCTTCTTATCAATGTATTGGGTCATTGCAATATGGGTGTATCTGAGTGTTGGAACCTCTAGGATTCACTAGCTTAGAACTCAAGGATACAGTGCTAAAATGGGTTTTTCTGTTGTCAATTGCACTTTTACATTTAAATCTTATACTGTGGATGTTCTGAGAAAACATCCTACATGTAAAAGAAACCATGTGTTACTTGCCAGTCAATTCAACATCACTGCTGAACTCCATGCAAAAGTAACAGTGATCCACTATCAAGATTTATTTTGAATGCTCAGCAAAATAATGAGTTCCTTACATAAGAAGTGTCCAAGCTGTCTTTCAAAAAAAAACCTCTTGAATCCATTGAAGGGTGGTTGAAGCTGGGTTTTTTCAGAACAGAGCAGAAGCAACAGACAGCTCATGAAGCCAATGGCTTTTTGATACCACACACTGCTCAAAATCCCATCAGGGAACAACTCTGCCTAAAAGAAACATGATAACTGTAAATAAACCTATAGGCGATCTGGCATGTACAAATGAATCCCCGGACTCCCACTTCTCATCACAAAATAACAAATAGCTTCTCCCTTTTTCTTTCTATAAATCCCTACCCACTGCCCAACACCATATGGAGATGGATCTCCTGCTTTCCTTGCCAATTGGCCAAGCAATCAAGGGTTTTTTGTTGTTTTGTTTTCGAATAACATCTCCAGCCTTGGTATTGGTTTCTACGAGCCCTTCTTTAGTATTACCAACAGCTGTGTTTGGTTCTCTAATTTCAAGTAAGACATAGAAATCATCTGACTTAAAAGATGATTAAACAACACTGGGCTATTTATTTTCTTATCCTGACAACAAAAGGTCAATGAGGAGGAGATTTTTTTTTTTGAAAGAGAATTTTGTGAGGACATGGGCAGGAAGAAAGGATGACTATTTGGAGGAGAACTAGAATGAGAAAGAACCAAAGGTTTTCAGCCAGACCAGTTAAAGGAAAGAAAGAAAGAGAGAGAGAGAGAAAGTGCCTTCCATGAAGCCCAGGGGAAGGACCAATCCCAGCAAGAGGAATTGAATAGACTGAAAGTCTGTGTGCTTCAGATGCAGGTGGTCATCTAACCTCTAACCCAAATAACAGTAGGGTTTGCCAAGGGAACCAATCACTGCAAATTCATGGTAGAACCTAGAACCTTCTTTTTCTGTCCACAAATCAATCTATCTATCTATCTATCTATCTATCTATCTATCTATCTATCTATCTATCTATCTATCTGTTTTAAGACAGGATCTATGTAGCTCAGGCTGGCCTGAGTGATTCTCTTTTCTTTCCTACCCAAGTTCAAGATTACAGGTGTGAACCAGTGTGCTTTCCTTGTCAACAAATGTATATCTATCTATCTACCTATTATCTATCCATCCATCCATTCTACCCCCTACCCCCCCCCATCCATCCATACAGATGGTTTCTCTAGCTCCTAACATTCATTGGCATTAAGAGAAAATCACATAATATATATTAACATAGAAAAAGTAATTTTGGCCAAAACTAGGGAACACAAAATTCTCAGTCTATCTCCATCCACATCGCCCATAGCAATATAACAATTCTCATTTAAAAAAAAAAAAAAGGTGAAACAACAAGAAACTTGTATAAAATAGGTTTAGGTGTGGGCATCAGTTATCGTTAACTGGGAAATTCATTTTCCCTGAAAATTAGTTTTTCCTAAGCCAGGGGCTAGGGTTCTAGCTCTGTCTTTCTAAGCAATCTACTTGCTCTATTGGGCCAAAGCATTTACCCAGGTTCTTTTTAAGTCTTGTGGCCAGGGTGGGCTAATCACTGAAATCTATATTCCCTGTTTATGTTTCCCGCATGTCCAATGCTCACAGTCCTGCTTTTACATTCTTGACCAGAGAGAGGGAGCTCCAGAAAGAAGACCACACAGGACAGTTCCTGCCCAGAGCACAGAGCATGTCTGATTCCGACATAGGGCTTGAACAAAATGAGACATACGGTCAGTGTAAAATGAGAAAGGCTGCTCTGCAGATTGCCTCAGGTCTAAGAGAGTTCAGAAGCGGCCTCAACTCCTAAGCACAACCTGGCAAAGAACTTGCATGGACCGATTCCCTGAAGCAGAGGCAACAGCCAACCAGGCTGGGAAAGCACACCACGCAAGCGTCGCGTCGGGCAAAACGGAAGTTCCAAGCGCGCGAGGCAGGGGCGCGCGCATGCGCGCGGCCACGAGGAGAGGCGCGCACGCGCGCGCCGTGGCCGCCTGGCTTCCCAGGGCCGGGAAGCGCGCTGGCTGCCGTGCAGCCTCTACCATGGCTCACCGGCCGCCTCGCACCTTCCGACGGCGCCAAGCCGACTCCAGCGACAGCGAGGGAGCCGACGACCAGTCTACTGAGCCCGCCGCCGTGCCGAAGGGTCAGGCGGCGACCCCGGGCCGGATGGAGGACGGTGCTGCCGCCGGCCGAGCGGAAGCGGCGGCGCGGCCCCGCCGGGCCCGGGGTGCTCGGGGCCGCGGTCGGGTGTGGGCGAGTTCCCGGCGCGCCGGCCCCGGAGCGGCTCGGCCGGCGGAAGGCGGCGCGGGCGCCCGAGGTGACGTGGGCGGCCGGGGCGGGGTCCGGGGTCTTGTCTGCGGGCTCGTGTGGCCGTCGCCCGCCCGCCCTCAGCCTCCCGGGGTCGCCGGGGACCGGGAGCGGGACAGGCCCGCCGGCCGCGCCAGGCCGCGGGGCGCAGCGGTGCGGGGGGCCGTGGAAAGCGCCCTGGCTCCCGGTGGCTCCGCGACGGTCATCGGCGGTCCTGTAAACACGGGTGGAAGGAGGAGCGCCAGGCGGTCCCCGAGGAGGGACCTCCGAGGTGACATAGGCGGTACTATGTCACCGTGTCACCCCCCCCCTCCCCCAGAGGCGGTAACCGTGGGACCGACCTGCGCTTCTGCACCAAGCCTTGTGGAGGACCTGGGGTTCTTGCATACGAGTTTCCAGCAAATGTCTCTGCTCCAAGCTAGCATTTTAACTAAGGGACAGTTTTTTTTTTTTTTTTTTTCCTTCGTCTTGGAAGTCCAGACTTTTCAATTCTTTTTTCTTTCTCATCAGCTCTGGGTTTTAACCGAAACGAGGCTCTTTTTCGCCCACGATTGGCACAGTATCACCTGACCCACGCACGGGTCCACTTCCAGCCTTCTGGTGGTTAATTGGAGATAATAGGAGTCTCAGGGACTTTTCTGTCCAGACTGGCTTTGATCTCAGCCTTTTCAGTAGCTAGTATTAATATATTAATACTCGCCGTGGTCCACCAACACCCTGTCTCTCCTGTTTTAAGTTCCATGAAAACATTCTTCGTGATTTCCTCTGTACTTACTTATAAATAAAAACCTACAGTTAGTAGAACACAATCTGAAATAGCTACACATTGTGGAATTGCTAAATTAAGGTGCCTTATCTGTTTTTGTAGTGAGTCCATTTAACAGCAGCTTCAATTATACCGTGCATTGTTATTAACTATAGTTTTTGGACAATCGGTCAATTAAATTTATTCCTCCAAAATTTCGTGGATTTTCTTTCTTTATATTGTTATGTAGCTTTACTGAGCTTAGCAGACCAAATGGCCTTCCAAAATCACACACTGAAAAGAGACTTCTGCCTTAAATTTAACCACAGTGTTCATTGTACACTTCTTGCCACTAGCCATTGTAATTTGGCCTATTAGAAAACTTTAATTGTAGAGGTGGAAGGAATTAGGATGAAAGTCCCATTGCTGCATTTCCTTTAAGTTATCTTCCCAGTTCTTAGTAATAGAACTAAATGTATAGAACTATGAGTATTCAAAAATTCTGTTTTGTTGTGCCTAGCACATCATACAATTTTTCATACACTTCAATTTTTTTCTTCTACTTAATCATGTCTATTTTTTAAGATACTACTTCAGTGTTCCTCTTCTGATTGAGAGCTATCCTAATAGATAGGTAGATTATACAAATAGGGAAAGTCTTTGTACATTTATTGTGCCATCTAGTTGTCTCAATAAGACTAAAAATTAGACGTCTATGAGCCTACTAAAACCGTAATATATATCATTTGTTTCTCAGGTGTTATTGTTGATGCCAGTCTTTGATACTTTCTTCTTGTACTTCCAAAATGTCCTGTTAGAATCCGGAATGGTTGATCTTCCAACAGATGAAGAGGATGAAGTACATCATTCCTCAGATGAAGAGGAGGCTCAGAGTTCTTCTTCTGACAGTTCTAGCTCTCTGGAAGAAAAAGAATGTTCAATAGGTTGGTATTTTACTGAAGTCTTTGTGTATAATACATATGTTCTAACACTGTTAAATCCATAGCAAAATTTTCTGTACCAGTAAGATTCAAACCCAGACATCCTGCTCCAAAGCCTGTTCTTAACCACAGCCCTGTACTGGCTGATTCACTCTGATGCCTGAAGAGTGGTTAAGAATTTGTCAAATATATGGGCATTAAATCAGACAAAGCAAATAAAGGACATTTGTGTTTTTTTAGAAGGATCAGTGTCATCCACTTGATTAGAAATTAGATCAGACCCCCTACCTGTTTTTGCAAATAAAGTTTTTCTGCTTACTTATTATCTAAGACTGATTTTCTGCTACGGTGGCAGAGTTGAGAAGGTCTGACTCACCTTTCCTCCAACCCCAGTGTTTATAACATGCTCTATGTTATAGATTCCTTTTTCATTCTATCCAACAAAAGACCCCTTTAAGAAGATCAGTAGAGTAGAATGCATAGCTTTATAAAGGAAATAAGATTTTTCTTTTATAAAAGAAAAAATGTATAAATAAAGGAAAAGAAATTCTTAAATACATTTTAAAGAATTTGTAATATAGTAACCAATTATTAACCTATTTATTAGTCTATTAAATAGCTAGTAGCCCTGTAGCCTTGTAACCTTGGTTTTTCTTATCCGAGTTTACAAGGCATAGAAGTAGAAAGTGTTGAAGACTACACTATCACTGAGTCTGGTGAACCAGCAAAGCCTCTGTGATTCAGACACGGTACTGAACAGTAAAGCTTTCTGTTATAAAGGAAACATACTACATCTTCACAATCCAGTACAGTTGCTACTAGCCACAAGGAGCTGTTGACCAACTAAGAAATTGTATTTTTAACTTAGTTAAATTTATATAATCACATGACTATCAAACCATACCACTATAGATTATGGTGGATTAACCAATATAAGGAAATTCTTATAAATTATCAGCTGCACTGTCTACCAAGGAGAGGGCAGTATTTGGAAATGTATAAACTAGTTTTTAATGCTTAGAATGAGGGCATATAGTATCCCAGAGACAAGGGCAAATAAATGTTCTACAGTGTAGACAATTTAACATAATGAAGAATTGTCCATCTCACCAATTCCCTGTTGAGAAACACTGATGTACTTGTCTATAGAAGAAATGTTGGAGGGAGCTGGTATGATGAGGAAAACTATGGTCCAAGCACTTGGAAAGCAGAGACGGGAATATCATGTGTTCAAGGCCAGCCTGGGCTCCATAATGAGACCTTGTCTCAAAACCAGAATAGTAGAGGAATGTGATAACTTGAAGAGCTTATGGAAGGAATGAATTATTTTTTTTGGGGGGGGGGGGTCCGGTCGTGGGGCCTGAACTCTGGGCCTGGGCGCTGTCCCTCAGCTCTTCAGCTCAAGGTTAGCGCTCTACCACTTGAGCTACACCGCCACTTCTGGCTGTTTTCTTTTTGTTTATGTGGTGCTAAGGAATCGAACCCAAGGTCTCCTGCATGCAAGGCAAGCGCTCTACCATTGAGCCACTTTCCCAGCCCGAATGAATTAATTTTGTATGCAGATGAGATGCTAGAACTGTGAGGAGAATGAACAAGTAAATGGAATATCTGCCTTGAAATGTGGCAAATTCTACTTGTTACCAAAGGGAGATGTTAGTAGACCTCTGAATCTTAGAAGATTTTGTGTCAGAATGATGTACATGGAAGTTATTTATGAGTTATTTATAAAAACCTGATGTTGGCTTTATTCATTCATCTGATGCCTAGCATCTGCTCTGTAGGAACCACCTAGATGTTGGATGTAGAAAAGCAGAACCAAAAAAGTATTCTCCTCCTTGAACTTCTATTTCATTTTTCTTTTCTCTTTTTGATCTGAGACCAGAATTCAAACTTGGTATGTGATGTTTTTGCACATTGGCTAAGTGCTCTGCCATCTGAGCCATGTCTCCAACCCCACTTTTACAACTTTATTGTAGCTTAAGAGGATTGGCTTTTTGTAGCACTAGAAGCTCATGAGAGAATGTAGTCATTGCTGTTGACTTATTGTATAAGCACGACTAAGTCATTTTATGTTAGTCACTTCCAATCATGTGTTTCTGTTTCCATATTTATACATTGGCCTATTTGAACCTCCAGGTATTATGTTAAACATTAGTCTCCCAGGAGGCTATAAAAACAAACTTAGCTCTACCTCAAATCAATTAAATCTGTATCTCTAGGACTGGAGCTTGGGTATTAATGTATAAGAGTTTAAAAATTGCTAATATAGTCTGCTGCATTTGAGAGAATAAGAATTTCTCTTGCTGTTGTGCTTACTATTGGGATTTTTCTTGTTTGGTTGGTTGTTGGGTTTAGTTTTTGTCTTTCTTTCGTATAGGTATGGTAGTGTTTTGCTTATTTTATTTTTGAGACAGTGTCTTACTGTGTAGCCCAGGCTGGCCTCAAAATCTCATCCTCCTGTTGCAGGCTCCCAAGTGCTAGGATTACAGTCCTGTAATACCATGCCTGGAGATGGTATTTTTCTTGGAAAAACTTTTTTTTTTCTTGAGTGTAAAGATAAATTTTAGCTTGGGTCATGCATGAACTTATTTTAACTGGAAAAAGGATTACACTATATAAATTAAAAACTAAGGCTTTATTAAACTTTGTTGCCAATTAGTTACTGGTTAAACATAAAGGAAATTTATTTCCTTTACACGTTTTAACTTCTTATATTTATTCATGGGACTTAACACATGACTTTGCATCTGGCTTGTATTTGTGCTGATTATAGTCTCTTTCTCCCTGTGTGTGTGGGTTCCCACTCAGAGGACTGTGAAATAGTTTGGTCTCTTACTTTGTAAGCCAGACTTGTCTTCTGGGGTTCTCACTGGCTAAGGAACTCCATACCAAGGCCCCTCCACCTGTGCTCCCTGACACTCAGAGCTTCTGCACCTGAGAAGTATCCCTCAGCAAAGAGCCACACCTGTCAAGTTCAGAGTTAACAAATTAGTTTTCTTCCTTTACTGATACAGCATTTGAGCTATTTATTACAGCTGTGTACATACATGAAAATAGCAAACAATCTAGAACATGGTGCTTTATTCCTTTGCTTAAATGTGAGAAATATATATTCTTTTGATGCTTGCTTTTCATTGTCCTCCTGTTTGATTCTTTCAGTTAAGATGCCTGATGCAACTTTTATTCAGGCAGCCCGCAGAAAACGTGAGCTGGCCAGGGCCCAGAATGACTATATTTCTTTGACTGTAAACAATGGCTCCACCGCATGTAATGTGAAGAGAAACAGTGGAGAGGATTCTGAGAGTGAGCCTGATGACTACCAGAAGACAATACCATTTGCCCCCAAGCCTCAGACTCTTAGGCAAAGGATGGCTGAAGAAACAGGTACTACACATTTACTTTATTTAACAATATATGAGAAGGTTTAGGCTTTTTTTTCTTTTTTTTTTTTCTGGTCAGTCGTGGAGCTTGAACACTGGGCCTGGGCACTGTCCCTCAGCTCTTCAGCTCAAGACAAGCGCTGTACCACTTGAGCCACAGGGCCACTTCCAGTTTTCTAGTGGTTTATTGGAGATAAGAGTCTCATGGACTTTCCTGCCTGGGCTGCTTTGGACCACTATCCTCAGATCTCAGCCACCTGAGAAGCTAGGATTTATAGGCGTGAGCCACCAGCACCCAGCGATTTAGGCTTTTTTTTAATTAGTGTATTAAGACAAAATTTCCTAACTGTGTTGAGTGTTGAAATTTGTTTTTGTTTACTCTCAATTTGGTTCATTATTTTGTGGCCTCTAAAAGATACATTTGTATCAAAATATTATCAAAGGAAATGTAATAATATTTAATAATACCTATCCCCTCACCTCATTTTTATTTATTCATTTTTGAGACAGGGTCTTGCTTTGTAGCTCTGGCTGGCCTTGAAATGACAATCCCCTTGCCTCCATCTCTAGAGTACTGGGATTACAGGTGTGTGTCACCATGCCATCCCCTCCTTGACTCCTTGATTTTGACAGGTTAAAAAATTTATATGATGTCTTTTTTTTTTTTTTTTTGTCGGTCGTGGGGCTTGAACTCTGGGCCTGGGCGCTGTCCCTCAGCTCTTCAGCTCAAGGCGAGTGCTCTACCACTTGAGCTACAGCACCACTTCCGGTTTTCTGGTGGTTTATTGGATATGGGAGTCTCACGGTCTCTCCTGCCCGGACTGGCTTTGAACAGTGATCCTCAGATCTCAGCCTCCTGAGTAGCTAGGATTACAGGCGTGAGCCACCTCCTGAGTAGCTAGGATTACAGGCGTGAGCCACCAGCACCTGGCTTACGATGTCTTATTTTCAAAACATTGGAAATTATTACTGTCAACTTTTATAAACTATCTTTTTAATATAGAAGACTCTCCAGGGATTTATAGGTGTCATATATTAAAATCTTCCATACTATAATAAAAAGTTTTCTCCATCAGTAATTTGCTAAAGCTCAAAGGGCTGTCCACATTTCTCATTTATGACATGTCTGTTCTCCCAAGATTTTTTTACTTCAAATGATTTTTTTTTTCAGAATGAAACTTTGGCTCCTTATAAATCAGAAATTATTTTTAGATATTTGAATTCTCAGTTGGAATTAGATACCTTTGGTAAGGAAAATCACCGGACATTTCTTTTTTTTCTGTGTGTAGACTGAAGTATTTCAGGTGGGCTGGATTGGTGACAGGTTCCAAAGTCAGATCACTGCCTTGCATCTAGCTTTAATACAGTCCTTAGTTAAGTATTTAACTTTCTAGCATGTGAGTATCCTCATTTTTAAAATGAGGTTAATAATGGTATCTTCTCCTTAGAGAAGAATAAATAACATATGAAGAATGAATGATTTCTAAACTGCTCCTAAACTTCTATTAAATAAATGAATCCCCAAAATGCTGGTTTCTGCAATTGGAATGGAAAAATATTTATGTGAGAATTTTTTCTTTTCTATTTAAAGCCAGCAGAAATGAAGAAATAAGTGAAGGGAGTCAGGAAGATGAAACAGAAGATATTTGGGAACAACAACAAATGAAGAAAGCAGTTAAAATCATAGAGGTAATCATTTTTATTCTAACACAAATGATAGTAACTAATTAACACAAACATAGTGACCTCAAACAGCAGATAGTTATCTTCTCAGAGTGTGGAGGCCAGAAATCACATCTGGGTATCAGCAGGGCTGTGCATCCTCTGAAGGCCCTGTGGGAGAACCGTCCCTTACCTTTTACACTTCTGCTTACTCCAGGTGTTACTTGAGTTGTGATAGTGTGTCTCCTTTTCCTGCTTCTGTCTTCACATGCCTTTTTGTGATCGGTTGTAGGGCCTGAACTCTGAGCCTGGGCGCTGTCCCTCAGCTCTTCAACTTAAGGCTAGCGCTCTACCACTTGAGCCACAGCGCTACTTCTTGCTTTTTTCTTTCTGCTTATGTGGTGCTGAGGAATCGAACCCAGCGCCTCATGCATGCAAGGGAAGCACTCTACCACTGAGCCACCTTCCCAGCCACTGCTTTGTGTTTCTTGTAAGGATATTTACTGAGCTCATCCAGAGTGTCCAAGATGGTCTCATCTCAAAATCCTTCCCTTAGATACAACCACAAAGACCTCTTTCCAAATAAAGTCACAGTCTTCCATTCCAGGGGTTAAGACATAGGAACATATAGTTCTTGGAGGACCACCATCCAATCCCCTATAGATGGATTTTGTCTTCAGAGTTGTTTTGTTTTGTTTTTTCCTATTCTTTTGTACATTCCTTCCAATTCAAGGAACCTATTTTTTAAAATCTTTAAAGTTTATGCTATCTGGAACAGATACTTAAAAGTAATGTTTAATAAATAGTGAGGTTTAAACTAAAACTATCAACAAATGGAAATGGAAAATGTAAGTGGTATCTTTAGAGGAAAGATCTATTACACATAAAACATATACACACACACACACACACACACACACACACACACGCGCGCGCGCATACAAAAATGGATCAGGAATGTAGTTCATTGGTAGAATATTTCCATAGCAATATGCAAAGCTTTGGTTCATTCCACAACCCTACCCCCTCACCAAAAAAAATAAATAAATAAATAAATAAATAAATATATATATATATATATATATATATATATATATATATATACACACACACACACACACACACATACATATATAGGTGAGGGATTATATACATATGTGTGTGTGTGTGTGTGTGTATATGTGTATATGTATATATATATATATATATATATACATAATCACTATTGGAGATAAAAGTCATGGACTTTTCATTCTAGGATTTTAAGCTCCATTAAGTCAAAAATGAATAACTATCCATTTTTTTTAATTTAATTTTGTTTTATTTGTGAACATACTGTACAGAGGGGTTACAATTACATGGGCAGGATAATGCGTACATTTCTTACCAAGCATTGCAGCCTCCTCCTTTGGTTTACCCTTCACATCCCTTCCCAGCCTCCCCCCTCCCCCCAATCCCAATCTTTCTCCATCCCCCCCCCCCCCCCCCCCCACCAATGTTGTAAAGCTCGTTTTGGACATGACAACTTGTACTTCTCATTGTTGCAACAGGTCCACCTGTATCCTTAAACAACTGGTTTTTCCCCATCTCCTCCACAAGTTATACTGACATCAAATATAGTGAAAGCAGGGGTTATACAGTGAGGGAGGGACATAAAACGCAACAAAGAGATAATCTTATAAATGCGTTAGAAACACATGCATGAAAGAAAAAAACATTAAAATACATATCTAAGGGTTCATTTTCCTGACATCACATTATCTGACCTTTTCCGCTTGACTCATACTAGATATTGCAAATAAGGGAAATCATGGGACCTATGTTTCTTTGGGCCTGGCTTACTTCACTTAATATAATTTTTTCCAAGTTTTTCCATTTCCTAACAAATGGGGCAATGTCATTCTTTCTGATGGAGGCATAGAATTCCATTGTGTATATATACCACATCTTCTTGATCCATTCATCTACTGAGGGGCATCTGGGTTGGTTCCATATCTTAGCTATGGTAAATAATCCTGCAATAAACATTGTTGTGCTGGTAGCTTTAGTGTGGTCTTGTTTGTAAACATTTGGGTAAATGCCCAAAAGTAGGATTGCTGGGTCATAGGGGAGTTCTATGTGAAGTCTTTTGAGGAACCTCCATACTGCTTTCCAAAGTGGTTGAACAAGTTTACATTCCCACCAACAATGAAGTAAGGTTCCTTTCTGTCCACATCCTCTCCAGCATCTGTTGTTGTTAGAGTTCTTGATTTTTGCCGTTCTAACTGGGGTGAGGTGATATCTCAATGTTGTTTTGATTTGCATTTCTTTTATGGCTAGGGATGTTGAACATTTCTTCATGTGTCTATTGGCCATCCTTTCTTCTTCAGAGAAGTTTCTCTTTAAGTCTTTCGCCCACTTATTTATTGGGCAGTTGTTTCTTTGAGGATTTGTTGTTGGGGGGTTTAATTTTTTGAGTTCCAAGTATATTTTAGATATGAGACCCTTGTCCGTTGTATGGCTAGTAAAGATCTTCTCCCAATCCGTGGGCTTTCTATTGATCTTGCTAGCTATGTCATTTGCCCTGCAGAAGCTCTGCACTATGCAATCCCATTTGTCCAACCTTTCTTTGATTTGTTGTGTTTCCAGGTCTCTATTCAAAAAATTTCGGCCTGAGCCAAGGAGACCTAGGGTTTCTCCTATTCCATCCTGTAATGTTTTCAGAGTGTCTGCTTTGAGTTCAAGGTCTTTGATCCATTTGGAGTTGATTCTGGTGCAGGGTGATATATAAGGATCTAGCTTTTTAACTCAGGAACAAGACAAGGATGCCCACTCTCTCCACTTCTCTTCAATCTAGTATTAGAATGCCTAGCTACAGCAATAAGACAAGATGCAGACATAAAGGGGATCCAAATAGGGAAAGAAGAAATAAAACTCTCCCTCTTTGCAGATGACATGATCTTGTATTTAAAGAATCCCATATACTCCACTCCCAAATTACTCAAGCTGATTCAAAACTTTATCCATTTTTATATCTAATGGTGCCCAGTCTTGTTGGGAGCTTTTAGTCAATATTAAAAGATTTGATTGTTCTAAGCCTCAGTTTTCTCGTCAATAAAATGGGAAAGATAATAATATAAATACCTGACTGTTAATGACTGAAGGCTCAAACTTACAATGATATCTTTCAAAATACAAGCAGCATAAAATTATGCAAATATAAGGTTTTTTAAAATTGAATCTTTTGATAAGGATGTTCTGAGATATTACCTGTTCTTTTAAGCAAAAAAACATGTTGTAAGATCTTCATGTTATTTAAACTAAAAGACAAAGGTCAGCCTGTGATAGTAATTTTGGAACATAAAAGATAGTGAAATTAATGAGTTGGTTCAGTACATGGTCCATGTGTATGAGCTTGTCTAGCCAGAGGACTCAGCCTACTAAGTGAACTATGCCATGTGTTACTCAGGAATACATTCCTCTGAAAGTACCCAAAAACCCAAATAACAGTGCCTTTATTCACTGGTGTGCCTTCAAAAATGCCATGATATTCTGAGAGTGCTTTAGAAACAAAATGAGCTGTGGAAACTTTAGGAACTATACTTTGTGAAGAATCACATTCTTAAATTAAAAAATGATTAAAGAAAAACAATCAAATAAATTTAGTTAGTTTTGATGGTAATGGGACTTGAACTCAAGGCCTTACAATTGCTAGGCAGGATTTTTACCTCTGCGGATACCTCTAGTCCTGTTGTTTTTCTGGGTACAATCTACATTTCTTTGTCTTCACATCAGATAAATCAACAAGTACGTGTCAGCTATTATGCCCAGGTCTCCATTGAGCAAGCTCTTCTGAGTGAGGCTGGTCTCCAACTATGATCCTCCCAATCTCAGGCTCCCAAGTCACTAGACTTATAGGTATAAAAACCACTGGCACTGGTTTGAGAAGTCACATTCTTAAAATTTGCCTCTTACTTTCTAAAATTTGAAACTGAATATTTTTTAAACATTTTATTTTGATCATCAGAATTACAAAAGCATCTAATTTTTGAGCTAGCTCTTTTTTGACAAATTATTAAAAATAATAATTTTAAGTTTTAATAAAAATATTTGGTAATTTTCTTAAAATTAAATTTAAAAACTACAAAAGTTTAAATTAAAATTTGGAAAAATCTGTTTTTATGAGAAAATAATTTTACTGTTGGTTTTAGGGAAGAGACCTTTCCGATAAAAGAGAATCTCGAATGCTAAAGAAGTTTGATACCTCTCTGTCATTTCCATCTGTGACCTTAGAAATGATAAAGAAGCAGCTGAATACTAGGTGAGTCCTGCAGACTTTGAAATTTGTCCTCAACATTTAATATCAAAAAGTGCTGTGTTCCTTTTAACTAGTATTAATATTAAGCAGATTTATAGAAAAATAGCATTTCTTACATTACCATGCCAACCTAAATAATTTCTGTGTTTTTAAGCTTTACTACACACCTACACACACACACACACACACACACACACACACACACAAAACATAGTTAAAAAGCAGTCATCATAAAATTCTGCTTTTAAAGAAAAATTATAAAAAATGGGCAATGTTTATTTTATTTATCTAGATTGACATTACTGCAGGATACTCATCGCTCACACCAGAGAGAATATGAAAAATATGTAGAAGGTGTCAAGAGCTCAAAAAGTACCATCCTGAACCTAGAGAACTCCTCAAATCAGTCTCAAAACTACAAGTTCTACAAAAGCATGAAAGTTTATGTGGAAAATGTGATTGACTGTCTTAATGAAAAGGTAGATTAAATATTTATACTGTTTTCTTTTTGGAAAGACACTCCTTTACTACCCAGTTCAAAAAAGAAAGGAGTAAATCTTTCATTAATCTTTCTGTAGTATTTGTCCACATACTTTTCTGGGTGGAGAGGGGATCTCACTATGTAGTCCAGTTTGACTTGTAGCTCACAGTTCCCCTCTCCACCTCCCAAGTGATGAGATTATAGGTTTGTATCACCACATCTAGCCTCAGCCTGTTTTCTATTTTGTTGTTGTCCTAGTACTGGGGCTTGAACTCAGGGCCTCTCACTCTTCTCACTCTCCTTGTTCAGCTTTCTTACTTGTTCATGACTGGTGTTCTGCCATATGCACCATGCCTCAAGATTGACTTTTTGCTAGAGACAGAATTTCACAGACTTTTCTACCTGACTTCAAACCAAGATCCTCCAGATTTCAGCCTTCTGGATAGCTAGGATTATACATGAGAGCCACTGGCGCCCAGCTAAAAAGATTGTATTTTTTTTCTTGTTTCTGTGTTTTTGGGGTTTTTTTTGTCTATTTTTTGGGGGGGAAGGGTCACGCATGCACATTCTTGCACTAAACTCAGGGCTTCAAGCTCTCATTTGGCTTTTTCACTCATGGCTGGTTCTTTACCACTTGAGCCACATCTCTACTTCTGGCTTTTTGCTGATTAATTGGAGATAAGAATCTATTGGGTTTGCTGCATAGGCTGGCTTTGGACCATGATCCTCAGGTCTCAGGTTTCTGAATAGTAAGGATTATAGGCACAACACACCAGCATCCAGCTCTATACATTTTTAACATATGAGATCAAGCATTCCCTTAATGTTGGGCATAACTTTTTGTAATTATTATGCTGCCATACTTAACAGTGTATAAAATTTTGTTTTTAAGCCAGGTGCTGGTGCCTCATGCCTGTAATCCTATCTGTGAGGCTGAATTTACAAGGATCATAGTTAAGGCCAGCCTACGAAAAAGTCATGAGACTCACATCTCAAAAGTAGCTGGGTACAGTGGCATGTACCTATCACCTCAGTTTTGACAGGAAGCATAAAATAGGATTGCTGTTGAAGCTGGCCTGGCAAAAAAAAAAAAAAAAATAAAGAGCAAGGCTCTATCTCAAAAATAAGCAGAGCATGGGGCTGGGAATGTGGCTCAGTGGTAAAGCGCTTGCCTAGCATGCATGAAGGCCTGGGTTTGATTCCTCAGCACCACATAAACAGAAAAAGCCAGAAGTAGCACTGTGGCTCAGGTGGTAGAGTGCTAGCCTTGAGCAAAATAAGGTCAGAGTTAGTGCCCAGGCCCTGAGTTCAAGCCCCAGGACTGGCAAAAAAAAAAAAGCAGAGCATAAAGGTCTAAAGATGTTGCTTAAATGGAAAGCATGAGACCCTAAGTTCAAATACCAGTATTATTCCCCAACCCACTTTTTTTTATTTATAACTTTTTGTGTCAAAATTTCATGTTAAGAAAAATTCAAAGAAAATGAAATCCAATAAAATGAATTATTTATAAATATTTTAGGGCTCACAAAATATACTTCCAAATTGTACCCTACAAAAATTATGACAATCTATTAATTTTTAAAAAATGGCTGATCTCAAACAAACCCTTTATTACCTTTATGTAGTTTTTCTTCCTATGAATTACTTGCCACCTTTGCCTTGTTATCACTTAGATTCTCAGGAGGGATTTTTCTTTTTTTCTTTGCTTTCTTGATGAAGACTAATTTTTTTTTATAGTTTATATGATTTATCTTATTTGGAATAGGCTGCATCCTAATAACATTTGGTACTTCCTCTCTAAGACAGTGTTACAGTTACATTGTAACTTTTTCTTCATTCACCCTTGAAGAATTCTAGTTAGAATCTTCTTAGATAACATAAGATCATGTTTGGATAATGATGTATCTATCCATAATAGTGGCTGTTGATGCCCCTCATCATCCCCCATCATTGAAGTGGGAGCAATTGTTGCCCAAGATGTAGTTGTTTCATTTCACTTACTTACTGTTTGTGTTGTCATTGGTTCCGTCTCTCCCATTCTACATCACCCCTCATCTAGTGCTAAGAATTGAATCCTGGTGCTTGCTCAAGCACACTAACACTGAGCTTCCTCCCTTAAACCTTTTGTCAGTTTATCAGACTTGACCTCTTCTTGTGTCCCTCCTGCTCTCTGCCCCCTTGGCCTGTGTGGAATGCCTGCCCTCTCATTTCTTCCTCTTGTCCTATGTCTTAAGACTTGCTCTTACCTGTCACTCATGTTCATGTTTCTGGCTCCATCACATTTGGTGTCATCATCTGATAGTTATATTTATCACAGTTGATATTCTGTTGTTTAATTTTGAAAATACAAATGTGTTGCTCACAAGTATTTTGTAATTGAAATGTGTAGTATTGGAAATGGTTATTGAAGATATAATTTGTTTATAAATAATTCCTTTTTATACTATTTAATATTATCCATGATCTTCAAAGTGTGACTTATATGTGTATTTCAGATTATCAGCATCCAGGAAATAGAATCATCCATGCATGCACTTCTTTTAAAACAAGCCATGACCTTAATGAAACGCAGGCAAGATGAATTAAAACATGAATCAACGTATTTACAACAGTTATCACGTTAGTGATTTTTTTGTTCAATACAACTTACTATTCATTTAGCTAAATTATCATCTGGAGAATAAAAATATTTTTATTCCTATATATAAAAATGATTTTTGTGTATGTTCACACTAACCTTTCATCTAGCCCCTCTTCCAAACCCCAAACCTTTAAAGGTAGACCTTTCAAAATACCTTCAGTCAAGTCCAAGGCTAAAAATTAAATATTGTAACTCCTAATCACTAAGTATTTGAGACAAAATATTTTGTGGCTATTATTTTGGATATGAGTATTCATAAATCTACAGACTTGGTCAGAAACGTAATGTGGTGTTTCAGAGGTTCTTCCACAGATTGGTTCTGGTGGCTTTCAATAGAAACACATATGTTAGATCTCATTTTATAAGATTTGTATGCTTCCTTCAAGTTCTAGCACAGGTTTTGTGATTTCAGTAATGCCTTCTTTTAACCAAGTGCTATTGGATAGTAAAAGGTATAAGACATAACTAAGTATCTGAGAAAAACTAGCATAGTGACTTTCAAAATGCTGTCTATAGTCACAAAGAATGGTAAATGCTAAAATGTAAATGGTAACAATTCAGATAAACTATTGGTAATAAAAGTATTTCTAATAGCTGACAGTACAACTACTTTGTGGTAGAATTTTGTTGCTATTCTCAGGTGCTAGGTTACATTCAAGAGCAGAGGTACATATTTTATTCTAGCAAACTTGATGCCTGTTAATATTATAATAGAGAGTTAATATTTGTATTTAATTCATATTGAAATATACAATTAAAGTAAATGTGTGTCTAAGTATATTGCATATGTTCATCCACGATACCATTTTCATTTTCCAAGTTTCACTTTTTCTTTTGAATTCACAATACAAACTCAATTTTTTCATTAACAGGTAAAACTGAGGCATTAACAAATGGAAGCTTGGCTATAGATGAGAAAACTCAAAGGATTTTGGAACAGATTGAATCTCGAAGGTACCTATTATGTAAAGGGAAGACTTAAAGCATCATTGCACAAGTACTTTTCAGTATTTAAATATACTTAACTCTATGGCATATATAGCCCTAATCTGATGTGTTAGTTTGTGAGTATAATGTGAAGCTGAAGTTCAGTTCAACAATCCTTAGCCACTTTTTACCTACTGTTGTATTTTCTTCAGTTGAAAGAAATGGACAAAGTGGCACTGATCAGGCTGGGAATTGCTTCTAACTGGAAACTGGAAACTAGTTTAATTACATTGTTGCTTCCTCTTCAGAAACTTGCTAGCCCACAGTATTGTGCTCAGTGGGAATGTCTTATAAGATACCCCTGCCACCAGAAAAAAAGAAAAGGAAAGAAAAAGGAAAAAGGGGAACTATCAACTCTAATGAAAAGTGTCAAAAATAGTAGCATGAAATTGTGTGCTAATATGATGATGATGTGACCATTTAAGATGGATAATACACTTCTGCTTTCTGTGAAAGCATTTATTTCCAGCAAGAGCTGTTTACTTTTTACTTATTTTCAATTTATTCCAAAATATAGGGCACAAAGAAGACAAGCAAGGTTACTTTCTGGGAAGTGTAACCATGAGGAAGGGACATCAAGTGATGAGGAATTGTCTTCCACAGAGATAACTGACTTTGAGAAGAGCCGAGGTCAGTTTCTAGTAGATTTGACTTGAATTATTGAAGTAATGAGAAATGCTTTCTATGATCGCATTAAATATATGTTATATGAAACCATTGGGATAATTCCTAGAAAATGTTTTCTGTCCCTTTAAGCTACCTTTGTATAGTTTTTTTCCTTTATCCTTTAATCTTTTATTACAACCTTCTCATTTTTTTAACTTCATTCTTTCTGTATTATCATTTTTATTTAAAACAAGTGAATTTAATGGAATTGTTTTGAGTGCTATGCAAAGTATGGTAGGTACAGTTGAAGGATTCTGAGTTTTGCAATTAAATAGACTTGAAGTTGAAGGGGCAAGCAAGAGTCCTAAATTCAGTTTGTTTGTTGTCTGTAAGTAACTGGGTATACTAGCCTTGAAGGGAAGTAGTAACAATGAAGAATTGAGCTAAAAGGTTGATTTTTTTTTTTTTTTTTTTTTTTTTTTTTTAGCCTACAGCCAGAGGCTCAATAAATGACAAACACTGGGGCTGGGAAGAGCGCTTGCCTTGCATGCATGAGGCCCTGGGTTCGATTCCTCAGCACCACATAAGAAAAAAGCCGGAAGTGGTGCTGTGGCTCAAGTGGTAGAGCGCTTGTCTTGAGCTGAAGAGCTGAGGAACAGCGTTCAGGCCCCACGACCGGACCCAAAAAAAAAATGACAAACATTATTACTGCTTATATTATCACTTTTGTTCCTAAAGTGATTTTTTTAGTAAAATAAATTTATATGTTAATATCAAAGGAAAGATTTTGGCTCAGTTGGCTACACAGTGATATATAAGTGTATTTATAAGGAAGCAAACTTCAAATGCATAGTATAAAGAGACTTACTTTGTTTACAGGTGACCTTTTACAGGACTGTAAGAGAGTTTTTGAAGACGTACATGATGATTTTTGTAATATTCAGAATATCTTACTGAAATTTCAGCAATGGCGAGAAAAGTTTCCTGATTCCTACTCTGACGCTTTCATTGGTTTATGCATACCAAAGCTTTTAAATCCTCTGATACGTGTCCAGTTGCTTGATTGGAACCCTCTTAAGGTATTTTGTGCTTAACATGTGCTAATTATGGTCACATATGTTAGTCTACTATCAGGTTAGCTATGAAACACAATACCCTTAAAAATTTGAGCTGATTACATTTTTTAATATTCTTTACACCTATTTGACTTTTAATACTGAGCAGCACTAAACATCAATAAACGTATTTTGAAGCTTTTTCTGTGTTGTTTGAAAGTCTCCCACCCAAATCATAAAATAATATTGGTTTGGGAAATTAGACATAAAAGCTTTGTTTCAAGAGTTTTGAAGTTGGAGGTAACACAATATAAATAGTCAGTTAGAAAAACACAGAAAGGAACTTAGGAGTATAGATGGTATCACTGCCTTCCCAGCAAGTACAAAATTCAGACTTTAATATAGGGAGAAAAGGAGAAGGGAGGGAGGGGAAAAAAATCAAAGCACATTGAAGAATAAGAGCAGGAATTTAAAGCTTTGAAAGATGTATAATATATCAGAAGAGGAGAGGGAAAGGTGATTTAATAAAGGTATAAAGGCACATATACTAGTTCAGAATCCAGAGATCACACTAATGTACTAACTCTAAACAGAGAGGCAAGAACTTATTTTGAAAGTATGGAAGTGACACCTTGGAAATAATGTTTCAGGGAAGAAAATAAGACATGAAAAGCTTTTGATGTATCCAGGTTCAAGGGGACAGATTCATCATGTAGATAATAGTGACAAAGAAATGGATTTTACAGCAGTTGTCAGAAAGAATTGGTAAAATGTAGAGAATAACATTGGGTTTTATGCCTTCACCTTCAAACATCATCCTAAGATTTGTATTCTAAACTACAGCTTTTTCCACACATTAATGGGAGTGTGGACTTTTCAGAGAGAGATTTGAAGGAAGTTTTACATCCATGTAGAGATGCCTGCTAAACAGGGATGGGAAAATGAGGTTCAAGGACGAGAGCAAAGCAAAAGATAAACATTTCACTAAGCAAACAATGGAACTATGACCTTCTCTTTCTGTTTTGTTAAACACATTCTACTCTTCCCTGACTTAGTCATGTATATCTGTTAGTTCCAGGTTAGTGTCAGTACCACACAGCATTCATAGTGTAGCAACCACCCCTATTTCTAAGAAAGTGCTAGGTAATTGGTTGGGTATCCACTTAGTTGGTACGCATTCAAGTTGAATTGGGTACTGTTCTTAGCTAGCAGTATTCCATTTAGCCACTGACAAAGTATTAATTGACCATCTGCTATTTGCTAATAAATACATACATTACACATTTTATACTTAAGGAACAGAAGTAAATGTTACATCTGTTTCAAGTACCTAACAAATGTCTGTGCAGAATATTGGCTTTACAATGAATGTAGCAAGTACAATTTTGTTACTGCCTAGAATCCCTAAATCATGTCATCCTGCCTAGCCTAGATGACTAATGTTCCATACATACTTTTATAATATATAATTATTATCCTTTGTCCTTAGGGAAATTCTTAAGAAAGAATTTTTTATTTGCCTTTTTTACTTTATGATAAATTTAATTATTGATTTATAACCTTTTTAATTTCATTTGTAAGTTGGATTCTACAGGTTTAAGACAAATGCCATGGTTCATATCTGTAGAAGAATTCATGGAGAACAGTATGGAAGACACAAAGAAGGCCGATAGTTCTGATCAAAAAATTTTATCTGCTGTCATCAACAAAACCATTATTCCTCGACTTACAGGTACCTTATAATTTTGCTACTATTAAATTGTTCTTTGACAGAGTGTAAGATCGTTAATGTCTGTGGTAATTACAAATACATATTTAGATACTGTGAAATAGAAGAAAAGGAAGGGCTATGTTTAATAATATCAACACACACTTGTTCTGTTCAAGCTGATTAAAAGATGTTTGGAGGTTAGAGAGCTGTGGCTCAAGGGCAGAGTGCATGCTTAGTAAGAATGAGGTCTTAAGATTAAGCCCCAGCAAAACAAAAACAAAAAATTAAAAGAATATTTATTCAAATATCTGGGTATGAAATTCCCTACGTCTTTAGTATTTGTGATATGATTGTTTTATTTGTGATGTTTGTCATTTGTCAGCGACATGCTTTCATCCATACTATTTTTTTAATGCTTTTTTTAGTTTCTCTTTGTCTTTCTTCTATACTATTAGATTTCCTCTCTTTGTATTCTCCTTTCTGTAAACATTATTACATTTTCATGCCATCATCTCTAAGTACTTTAATGTTAATGTTTCAATCTTCAACATCTGAAGGCTCTTGTTATACCTACAACTCTTGTACTTGATCAGCATCTGTTTTACCAGGTCACACAGAATGAACTTTCATATAAAAGATGAAACAGCCAGGTTCACATTGGTTCTCAGTAACATGATAAAACTTTAAAGCTGTTTTTAAATACTACTCTGAGAAATCTACATTCTTAGGATTAAACAATCCCAAGGATAGATAGCTTTATAAGAAATTAATAGTTACAGGTTTCTATAGTGGTTGAATTTTGCTCATAATTCAAAAGTTGCACTAACAGAATTTGCTAGTGAATTATAGGTTATAGGGCAACAGAGAAATAGAAATGAAGAATGGGTCCTTTTTTATTTTTTTTCCTTAAGCAACTAGAAAGATAAGAATTTGCATTTCTTAAAGCCAGAATTATTAAAATGAATGTTTATGGTGTGGGGGGGGCGTATTGGGAACTTAAAATAGGTCATGTTGAGTTTGATATGCCTGACATATAAACAAAAATGTCAAGTAGATTGTTGAATATGTGAATCTTAAAGGAGTGGTTCCAGCAGGAGGTAAATGTTTGGAATTTATGAGCAAGTTGATGACATTTAAGGGGGTAAAATGACTTTAAGTACTAAGGAAATGAATGTAAATGGAGAAGAAAAAGGAAGTTCTCTTCATGTTTAGGAGAAGAGCTAATAAACAGCCAACATAAACCAGAGAGGTAGGTAGGAAACCAGGGGAGTGGCATCCCAGAAGAAAAAGACTTTCCAGCAAAAAAGAATGATATGCTGTTGTCATTGCTGATAATAAGCCAGGTGAAGATTACAGTCTACCACTGCTGTGGGTATTGTGATATGAATACCTTGTGATTTGATAAAGCAGTTTCAATACAGTGGAAGATGATAAGACCTAATCTCTAAGAATCCAGAAACAAATGGCAAATTAAAATTAATATTTTGATGAACTTGTTTTAAAGAAAATTGACTGAAGCAGTATTGGAAAGGTAATAGGATTAAGGAGTTGTTTTTAGTGCAAGAAGAATAGTGTTTCACAGTGATGCAAAAGATAGAAAATATGTGACAATGCCAAAGTGAAAGGACCAAATTCCTGGAGCAATGTGCAAATAAGCAGGATAGAGAGCTCACCTGTCAAAGGTGGCCTTGACTGGCATGTCAGTTCTTCCTCCGTAGAAATAGAAGACATGAGAGTACATGCAGGTTCAGATGAATTAGTGCTATATATGCTAGGGTAGGAACTTTTCTTCTGCTTCCTTCTATTCTCCTCCCCTCCCCCCCCCACCAAATTAAGTAGATACAAGAGAAGAAGGAGGAGACAAAAGTTTACAAAAAAACAAAACAGTCATTTAGAAGAGTAAATAGTCCACCAACTGAGAAGGTCAAAAATAATCCTCTAGATGAAAGAATAAGTGAATAGACCAAGGAAGGAGAATATGATTTCTGACCATCATTAAGGGCTCATTTCAGTTTTATGGTGACATGATATTTTAAAATTCAAATTTTAGCTGCATAGTTATAGGCACAGTCTCAGGTGGCTTTAAGCTAAAGTTGTAGCTTAACCAGAGAAGTCCAACAAAGCTGGAGAACAAAGTGTACAAATATTTAATTGGAATAATTCACCATTAATTTTAATTTCATAAGGAAAAAAATAGTCTGTGCTGAAGATCTCTGTTATTTGTACATGAGATGCAAAACAATGGAGTAAATAAGTTGTGTATCACTGAAATGTTGGTTTCAGACTTTGTAGAATTCATTTGGGATCCCTTGTCAACTTCGCAGACAAGAAGCTTAATAACACACTGCAGAGAGATTATTGAAGAACATTCTGCCTATGAAAATGAAGTTAATAAAAGCAAACAGGTAATGATATCTGGGGACTTGGGGTATAGCTCAGTGGTAGGGTTCAATCAAGGCTCTGGGGTCAGTCCTTAGCACTGCAAAAAACAGTAAATGAATAAAATAATTTTTATATAAGCATTGCTATTTTGTGGAGATATTTTCTAGAACATCATCCTAGAACACTGTTGTTCTTAAAACATTCAGGATGCCTGAGAAATGGACTAAGATGAAATTGAATTTTGCTGTAGGGACCAATGGCTCACGCCTGTAATCCTAGCTTCTCAGGAGGGTGAAACCTGAGGATTGCTATTTGAAGACAGCCCAGGCAAGAAAGTTTGTGAGACTCTTTATCTCCAATTAACCCACCAGAAAACTGGAAGTCGCGCTGTGGTAGAGCACAGCCTTGAGCAAAAAATCCCAGGGACAGTGCCCACGCTGAGTTCAAGCCCTGACCCCCCCCCCCCCCCAAAAAAAAAAAAAATTGCTTGGCTTTTGATGCTATAATTATTGGTAGACGGCCACTTGAATATGATTATGTCTTGAGTAAGAGATTAATAAGAGACATAAGACTTCATTCAGTTCAATGTGCTGGTTTGCATTGTACATTTATGAATAGTTTGGTTGGGATAAGGTGACAGCTTAAGTTTGTGCTACATATACTCTCAGCAACTTAAGTAATTGCATAAAATGTGCCATTTTTCTTTTTCAAATATGGATTTTTTTTTAAGAATAGGCACAGTATCTTATAGTAGAAATATTTCTCATACAGGACAAATATTTAAACAGTCATTGTGTTTTCCCCCGGTAAGGGTGTTAGGAACCAGTTCCTTTGTAGGAGATTTTCATCCAGCCTTCTTTTACAAAGTTAGAATCCTAATGAGCATGTGTAAGTCCTGAGTTTTCCAATTACAATCATATCATTATATATTTACATTCATGTCACTGCAGACTTCAAAAACTTGAGCTAATATTTAAATTTCATGAATGTATATAGTATAAGTGCTTTAAATTCCCTGATTGAATATTGTGGTCTAATTTTTTACATATAAACAAAATGAATTAACCACTCTGGGTAAAAGGATATGGTGAAACAAACTGCACCTGCCTGTACCAAGAGGAGATGAGAAAATAAATTTGTTTGGATTTTACATTTATGAGCAATTTGTTGCTCATAATTGTAGGCTTAATTGTAGGCTTCTACAAATCAATAAGGAAAAGGCAAAAGCTAACACACACAAAACACAACCCATAAACATACAGAAACAGCTTAACATTCTTTACAAAAGAGCCAAATATGAGAACAGGGAATTAAGAAATAAAAAACAATGAGAATCTGACTTTATAGCCACAGAATAACAAAAGTTAAAAACAAAAATACAAGTTTTAATAAGAAAGTAGGGGAGGGGCTGGGAAAGTGGCTTGGTGGTAGAGTGCTTGCCTTGCATGCATGAGGCCCTGGGTTCAATTCCTCAGCACCACATAAGCAGAAAAAGCCAGAAGTGACACTGTGGCTCAAGTGGTAGAGTGCTAGCCTTGAGCTGAAGAGCTGAAGGACAGCTCCCAGGCCCAGAGTTCAGGCCCCACGACTGGCAAAAAAAAAAAAAAAGAAAGTAGGGGTGACAGGGTTTCTTAGTGAAAATACAAATAGGATACCACTATTTTGGAAAGCAGTATGCTATTTTTGTACAAAGTAGAACATATGGTTATAAGCTATATTCATCAATTTCATTCTTATGTATATACCCATTGGAAATATATTACTATGTTTACTGAAAGACTTATGTAAGAATTTTTACACATCATTACCTATAATAGACTCATAACTGAAATCGATGTGTCCCATTAGAAGTATTCATGCAACAAATTGTAATAGAAAGTGAAAATAATGCAACTACAAACATCTACAACAACCGGGATGAATGCTTTTGTTATACCCAATTGATAATTATTTCAATGGCTAACAATGAGATGTACAAGTCGTTATGTCGAAAAACGAACTTTACAACTTTGGTCGAGGGAGGGAGAGTATGGGAAAGAATGGGAAGGGGAAACAAAGGAGGAGGCAACAATGCTTGGTAAGAAATGTACTCGTTATCTTGCCCATGTAATTGTAACCCCTCTGTACAGTATTTTCACAATAAAAAAAAATTGTAGATTTTGGTAAATATATTTCCAACCATATTCTTGCTGTTATCACGTTCTTAAATAGGACTTACTTAAATCCATTATTTCAAGAATGAAGAAGACAATAGAAGATGATGTTTTTATTCCTTTATATCCAAAGAGGTAAGAGTTGTTCATTTATAGATATCTTGAAATAGCTTACCATATAAGACAGATTTGTTGAGAATGCAATGTAAAACTATACTATTTTCAAAATATGGTGCACATACTCTACTAATGTGCAACTTAATATATCAATAAATATTTTTCAGTTGTCTGCTATATCCCACGGTTGGCACTTGGACATTGTATGATTTTGGTTTGGGTTTTTTGTTAGTTTTTTTTTTTTTTTTTTTTTTTTTTGGTTTGTTTGTTTTTTATATATAGCCTACGAATGTGAGAGGTGGCATAAAGTAGTGAAGACACAGGTTGTAGAACCAGGATCTACCATTACTAGTCTTTGGCCTTGGCTCTTTCCATGTACTGATATCCTTATCTGAAAGGGGGTAAAGTTGATGGCTAATGCACAGTACTTTAGAAAGATGAAGAGGGTGCTCAGAACACAGTAGTGCCTTTACAGGAAACATAACATAAGCCTAGAACACCGGTAGGCCAGCAACTGCAACTGAATTTTCCCTTCTTCCACTGAAACAAGTGGGATTTGATACATGCATAGACCCTTGCCAAGAAAGCTTCAGTCATAGTAATGATTTGTGAGCATTACCAGTCAGCTATCCAGTGATGGTGGGAAAAGGAATCTCAGTGCTTTTTAGTTTATTTTGAGCCAAGAAGGTATGTCTGCAGATAAGAATTATACCCTGTAAGGTTTGTTTTAGAATGTTTTAATTAAGCAGTACGTTCTCATATATGCATTTTTTGTTAATTTATATGTAAAATAGAAAATTTTATTCATTTCTACCCTGATCTCTGTCCACTCAGATTTTATATATATGTAAATATATATACATGTAAAAATAATCAACTGTAAATAATTTTCATAATCTTTCCATACTTCCTTGATACTAATAGTAAATGTGTACTGTAACTCCCTCCTTTGTACAAAAAAGGCTATTGTAAACAATAGAACTTTATACCTTTTTTTCATGTAGTTCATTTTTTAGATCATTTCATATCATCATAGTTTCCTTCGTTCATTCTTTAGCTTTTCATGTGGTTATCCTATGCCTGATGGGCAGCTGTACAGTGATGCTGTAAACCATCTGACTGACATACTGTATGTACACATAAGCATCTCAGTAGGATGCATTCTCAGAAATGGGGTTGTTGAGACAGTGTTGATATATTTGTAATCTTTAATTGAGGTGTTACCAGAGTACCCCAGTTTGTATTCCATAGATTTACTTTGCTTTTTTTTAAAGTATGTTTTTGAAATTAGCTTTGAAATGTCCTTTATATTTTGTCTTTTTTTCTTTCCTTTAAATTAGTGCTGTAGAAAACAAAATGTCACCACATTCAAAGTTCCAAGACAGACAGTTCTGGTCAGCTCTAAAGGTGAGAAAAAAAAACCTGCAAAAATAAACACTAAAATTTCTTTTAAAAATTTCCTGGGAGACAGTAGGCATCGCCCATATTTATATATGGGAGATGTTTTAAGCTTTGCAGACCGTACAGTGTCTATCAAATCATTCTACTCTACCACTGATTTAAAACAAAAAAAGCAGACTGTGTTAACAAATGAAGGGCTATGTTTCAGGAAAACTTTGCTCATGGATTCGGAAATTTGTATATCACACAGTTAAAACAATGTTAAAAATATTCTCATTTTTAGAAATGCCATGTAAGAAATGGACCATTCTTGTCTTATAGGCCCTACGGAAATAGGCAGCAGGCTAAAATTAACTCCTAGCAATAACTGGCTAGCCCTTGATCTAAACAATAAATTTATTGCTAATTCAGTGGCAGAAGGAATGGTAAGGAAGAAATGACAGATTTAAAAGATGTTTCAGATGAAGCATTTTCCATACTCCACAACTAATTAGTTATACATGAGCAACATGGGATCATAGCTTAGTTCCTGACTGGCAGCTTACGGTCTTCTTTGGGGACACTGTAGAAGATATCGGAAGAAGAAAAGTCCTGTAATGGAAATCTCTTTTAGACATAGTAAATTGAATAGAACTGTGAAGATGGACCAAAAATGGAAATACCAAGGTTTAGGAAGCAGCTATGTATGAGTCCCAATTTCAGGAGCCATGCAGATCTGAGCTGGGCATTTTAGAGTTAACTGCATGTGGTTAGTATTGGAGCTTTGACCGTGAATAACAGGTTCTGAGGAGGAGGCCAAACAAGAGAGGACAGAAGGCAGGGTGGGGCAAATGGAGTCTTCAGAGAAACCTTAGAAAGGCCATGGAGAATGGCCTCAAAGAACTTTTATAGTGATTGCTAAGAATAAAGGTGAAGTTGTTAAATAGCCACCAAAAGAATTAGGAGACACACCGAAAATAGCCATTGGTATGACAATTGGAAGGCAGTGTTAATGGAGTGAATGGATGTTGGTCAGAGTTGAAATAGGCAGAGAGTTTCCAAGAGCGAGAATTAATGCCAGTTCAATAGAGCTAATTGTAGGGAGACTTGAAGAGTTTGACCAACTGTTTGTTAGAGACTATTAAGAAGTCATGAAAGTGGTGCTGTGGCTCAAGTGGTAAAGCACTAGCCTTGAGCTGAAATGCAGAGGGACAGCGCCCAGGCCCAGAGTTCAGGCTCTACAACCTGCAAAAAAACCAAACCAAAACAAAAAAAGTCTTAATGGAGAGCCTGTGTATTAATCTCGTGACATTTTATGTTAGCTCTTCCGCAATGTTCTTCTTTGGAATGGACTCCTCCCTGACGACACCTTGCGAGAGCTGGGACTAGAGAAGCTACTTAACCGATACCTTATGATTGCTCTTCTTAATGCTATTCCTGGGCCAGATGTTGTAAAGAAGTGCAGCCAGGTAAGCTGCAGAGGAAATGATTCTAGTTTTATCTGTTTTTAAAAATTTAACTTTCTGAAAGATTATATTTTCTGAACCAGCTAGCTGCTACTTTTGTGGCTTGGATAAATTGATAGCCTTTTTCTTCTAATTAGAATGAGATGGTAACGGATTAAAATAAAGTGAAAAAAAAAATTAGCTGTTAGGTAGGCAGTATTGACTCCAAATCCCAGAATTCCAAGGTTAAGGCAGGAGGATCACAAGTTCCAGGTCAGCTTAAGCTCGGTATGGCAAGACCTTGACTCAAAAAACTGGGAACAAATTAACTATTGAAATGTATCTTGAAACAAAACAAAACTGTGATGCTTATGTAAGAGTAGAAACCCAGAAGATACTCTTCCATATTGAAGAATTCCTGTAGTTTTGAAAGCCAGCCATGATGGCACATGCCTATAATCCCAGCATGCAAGAGGCCGAGGTAGGGATGTCAATCTGCGGCCAACTAAAACTACACAGCAACTTTGAGACCAACTTGGGGTATATAGTGAAAGCATACCTCAAACATCAAAAGATCCAGGTACAAGTGTCTCACACCTGTAATCCTAGCTACTCAAAAGCCAGACTGGACAGAAAAGTTCAAGAGACTCTTGTCTACAACTCACCATCAAAAAGACAATAGTAAGAAGATGGCGACGGGGCAGTAGGGAAACGCCACAGCTCTCTCCAACCAAAAAGAGAGTTCGAGTTCCAACCTTTAATCTCCCCAAGAGACCGACAACAACAAAAAGACGAACACTCAGAGAAAAACCAGAGGTGGAAAATAACAAAAAAAGAAAGAGAGGAAAAGAAGAATTTCAGAACAGAGAAGAGCGAAGACCCCTCCCCCAACCTTTACTGGCCGCGCGGCAGTGCGCCAAGCCGCCGGCCAGCCGGCCCGGCAGGGGCTGCCGGAGCCACAGAGACACAGGGGGCTGCTTGCAGATCACCAGGTACCGGATTGCAGAACAGCGGATCGCCAGGAACAGAGAAACCTACCAGCCGGGAGTCTCCAGGAGGATCCCACCCCACCCATCACTCTCCACCGGAGCGGAGAGGCTCCATCCCGCCAAAGCCGCCCGGCACCAGCAGCGCCACAAAGGGACCTGTCGCGATCGCAACGACCCGGCGGGGGGCCGCCCAACCCAGCCCGCAACCACCCCAACTGAACTCGGACTGCAACAACAACTGACGGACTGCAACAACAACTGACGACCTACAGGGTGAGTACCCATCAGGGGACAGGGAATCCATCAAGGGAGACCAGAGCTGGAGGGAATCCCCAGACCCTGACCTAGACTCCCTACCCCAACACCCGGACCACAGGACCCACTAAAACTGGGAACTGTTCGAGAGCCCCACCAGCCGGTGGAGCACACTCTGCTGGCCAGGCCAGAGCAAGAGCGCCCCGGGAAGGGAGCTTAAATGCTCAAGCCAGGAACAGTGCCCCTGGGTCAAGACTACCAACAGTAGAAGAAATTTGAACTGTGTCCTCCAGGCTGCATAACCAAGGTGGTATACACATTAGCACAGGCCTAACGAGCGCGCTCCAGGCTGGGGCCGGAACCAGGCCAGGGGACCGGTGCCTGAACAAAGCAAAAAGGGTCAGAAGTGGGGCTGTGGCTCAAATGGTAGGGTGCCAGCCCTGAGCTGAAGAGCTGAGGGACAGCACCCAAACCTAGAGTTCAAGCCCACAACCAGCCCAAAACAAACAAAAACACATCAGGAGCCCATAGCAGACTCCAGTATTTGGGAGAGTGCATCCAGAGCATCTGATCTTCCCAAGAGCACCCGCAGGAGCAAACACAAGCAGTCTAGGCTGCTCAACCCTTCCAAAGGCGGGAATTGCTACAGCAGAGAGCTGAGAATCCTAAGTGAATAGCAGCTGGAAATAGGCTCCCAACAGAATCCAGATCAGACACAGACTCTCTCTACCAATAGAGAATCAGCAACCAAGCAAAGACAGACACACCAAAACAAGATTGAAGAGCAGTCTCCTGAACCCCCATGCGAAAATCACAGAGAAAAATCACAAGGTTTACCACTACCCAGGACAGCAAGCTCACCTCAAAAGCCAGCAGCCACGCAGGGGAGAGCCCCAGTGGGAGCAAAGCAGGAATGGAAGACAAAAGCTACATCCAAGGGTTGCTGGAGGCAATGACTCAAGAAATAAAGCGAGAAATGGATCAGAAATTGAAAGAGCACAAGGATGAACTATCAAAAGATATACAGGATATCAAACAAAAATTGGATGCAAAAATAGAAGCTGCACAAACCTCAGTAAGAAGTGAGATAAACGCCAAATTAGAGGTAATGCATACTGATATCACCTCATTGAGAGGTGAGATCAGTACTCTGAGAACCAACATTGAATCCATAAAGGGATCCATTTCCATCATGCAAACCACAATAGAAGCCACGGTCAACAGAGTGAATGAAATGGAAGGTAGAGTGTCAGATACAGAAGACAGAATACACCAACTGGACCAAAAAGTGACAGATATGGAAAAATCACTCAAATTAAACCAAAGGGAAATTCAAGAGCAAGCAGATAATGCTAAAAAATTTAACCTTCGCATAATCGGAGTGGACGAAGGTGAGGAATTCCAGAGCAAGGGAATGCAACACCTATTTAACAAGATAGTCAATGAAAATTTTCCCCACCTCAAAAACGACCATCTTAACTACATCACAAAAGCTTATCGAACACCCAACAAGCAAGATCCCAGGAGAAACACTTCTAGGCACATAATAGTAACAATGATGGATCTGAATAATAAGGAAACAATCCTGCATGCAGCAAAAATGAAGAAGGAGCTATACTACAACGGGAAAAAAATTAGAATCACTGCAGATCTCTCCACACAAACAATGAATGCAAGAAAAGCCTGGGAAAGCACCATACGAGCCCTGAGAGCCAATAACTGCCAACCCAGACTGATATACCCGGCAAAGCTAGCATTCACATTCGATGGAGAACTGAAAACTTTTAATAGCAAAGAAAAACTAAATGAATACATAAACATTAAGCCAGCATTACAAAGAATTCTAAGAGGGGGGACACAACCTGAAGAAAGCAACCAGGAACTGGGACCTGCCCCAAACAGGCATTACTCAAAGTCTAACTGAGCAAGCACAGGAGGAAAGGAAAGAAGAAAAACTTAGGAAAACGGAATGGCAGGGACAACAATGCATCTCTCTATACTTTCTCTTAATATAAATGGGCTGAATTCGCCAATTAAAAGAAAACAAACTGAGGACTGGATCAGAAAACAAGACCCATCCATCTGTTGCCTTCAGGAGACCCACCTCTCAGCCAAACATACAAACAAACTCAGAGTGAAGGGGTGGAAAAGGATCTACCAATCAAATTCCCCCAATAAGAAAGCAGGTGTAGCTATCCTGATATCTGACAAAATAAACTTTTCATTAAAATCAGTACAGAAAGACAAGGACGGACATTACATATTAATAAAGGGAACAATCCAAGAGGAGGATATAACCATCATCAACTTATATGCCCCAAATATCGGTGCACCCAGATATGTTAAACAAATGCTCTCAAACTTACAGAATAAAATAGATCCCAATACGATAATACTAGGAGACTTTAACACGCCACTCTCACCAAAGGACAGGTCTACCAACCAGAGGATTGGCAAAGAAGCTACCGAATTAAGTGAGGCCATACTTCAAGCGGAATTAACTGACATCTACCGAGTATTTCACCCTAAAACAACACAGTACACATTCTTCTCAGCAGCTCATGGAACTTTCTCCAAAATAGACCATATCATAGTTCATTCAAGGAACTTAAGCAAATACAAAGGGATCGACATAATCCCCTGTATCCTATCTGACCACAGTGGAATCAAGCTAGCTCTCAATAACAAAGCATACCGCAGAAATTTCTCTAATACATGGAAATTGAACAGCACACTCCTTAACAAGGCCTGGGTAACAGAAGAGATCAGAGAAGAAATAAAGCATTTCCTAGAACTCAATGAAAATGAAAACACCTCACAAAGAAACTTGTGGGACACAGCAAAAGCAGTCCTGAGGGGCAAATTTATTGCCCTCAGTGCCCACATCAAGAGAATGGAGACAGACCAAGTAAATAATCTCATGTTGCAACTAAAACAGCTAGAAAAACAAGAAAAAATGGGACCTAAAGCTACTAGACGAAGCCAGATAACCAAATTGAGAGCAGAGATTAACCAATTAGAAAATCAGAAAACCATAACCAAAATAAACCAAACAAAAAGCTGGTTCTTTGAAAAAATAAACAAAATTGATGGCCCGTTGGCAAGATTAATTAAAAAAAGAAGAGAGGAAACCCATATTAATAGGATTAGGGATGCCACGGGAAACATCACAACACGTACCCAAGATATCCAAACAATTCTAACAGACTACTTTCAAAAGCTATACTCTCTAAAGGAAGAAAATCTGGCGGAAATGGATGCATTTTTAGAGAAATACAAGTTACCCAAACTGAGCAAAGAAGAAGTTAACCAATTAAATAAGCCAATATCCTACAATGAGATACAGGAAGCTATCAAAAGTCTTCCAACAAAAAAAAGCCCAGGACCAGACGGATTCACAGCAGAATTCTATAAGACCTTTAAAGAAGAACTAATACCCATACTCCTCAAGCTCTTCAGAGAAACAGAGAAGGAGGGAGCTATCCCAAACTCATTCTACGAAGCCAATATCACACTCATCCCCAAACCAGGCAAAGACCCAACCAAAAAGGAGAATTACAGGCCAATCTCCTTGATGAACACAGATGCAAAGATCCTTAACAAGATTCTAGCTAACAGAATCCAGAAACACATAAAAAAAATAATACACCATGATCAGGTAGGCTTCATCCCAGAGACACAGGGATGGTTTAACATACGTAAGTCAATAAATGTAATCCAGCATATCAACAGAGCCAAGGTCAAGAATCACATGATTATCGCCACAGATGCAGAAAAGGCCTTTGATAAAATTCAACATTCATTCATGCTAAAAGCTCTGGAGAAAATAGGAATAGAAGGAACATTTCTAAAAACAATAAAAGCCATTTATGACAGACCAATAGCCAATATTATACTTAATGGGGAAAAGCTACAACCAATCCTCCTAAAAACAGGAACAAGGCAAGGATGTCCACTGTCTCCACTCCTCTTCAACATAGTCCTAGAACCCTTAGCCAGGGCAATAAGGCAAGAAAAAGACATTAAAGGGATCCGCATAGGGAAAGAAGAAGTGAAACTATCCCTTTTTGCAGACGACATGATACTATACCTCCACGATCCCAAAAACTCCATCCCCAAACTTTTAGAAATCATAAGTCACTTCGGCAAAATAGCAGGATACAAAATAAACCCACAAAAATCAGTTGCCTTCCTATACACTGATAACGCACAGGAAGAGAGGGAAATAAAGGGAGCAACCCCATTCACAATAACCTCCCAAAAAATAAAATATTTAGGAATTAACCTAACCAAAGATGTAAAAGAACTATTTAATGAGAACTATAAAAAGTTAAAGAAAGAAATTGCAGAAGACACTAGGAAATGGAAAGACCTCCCATGCTCCTGGATAGGCCGACTTAATATAGTAAAGATGGTGATACTTCCAAAATTAATATACAAATTCAATGCAATTCCTATTAAAATCCCAATGACGTACATCACTGAAATACAGAAAACAGTCCAAAAATTTATATGGAACAACAAAAGACCTAGAATAGCCAAAACAATTCTAGGGGATAAAGACAATATGGGAGGGCTATCCATGCCGAACTTCAAACTCTACTACAGAGCTATAATCACAAAGACAGCATGGTACTGGCACAAAAACAGACCCGAAGACCAATGGAACAGAATAGAAGATCCAGATATAAATCCACAGGCCTACAGCCAGCTGATATTCGACAAAGGAGCCAAAGACATACAATGGAAGAAACACAGCCTCTTCAACCGCTGGTGCTGGGAAAACTGGGCAGCCACATGCAGAAAACTAAAAGTGGACCCCAGCCTATCACCATGCACCAACATCAACTCAAAATGGATTAAAGACCTTAACATTAAACCTGAATCTCTGAAACTACTGCAGGACAGAGTAGGAGAGACACTTGAACTAATAGGCACAGGAAGGAACTTCCTGAACAGAGTCCCAGGGTCACAACAAGTTGGAGAGAGACTCGACAAATGGGACTACCTTAAAATAAAAAGCTTCTGCACAGCTAAATCTATCGCAACTAAGCTAGAAAGACAACCAACTAATTGGGAAAAAATATTTACCAGCAATATATCAGACAAGGGGTTAACATCCTGTATATACAGGGAACTCAAGAAACTAATCCCTCCCAAACCTAACAAACCAATTACTAAATGGGCAAGGGAACTAAAGAGGGACTTCTCAAATGAAGAAATAAAAATGGCAAAGAAACACATGAGGAAATGTTCATCATCCCTGGTGGTGAAGGAAATGCAAATAAAGACAACCCTGAGATACCACCTTACCCCAGTCAGAATGTCCCACATCCACAAATCAGCCAACGACAAATGCTGGAGGGGATGTGGAGAAAGAGGAACCCTATTACACTGCTGGTGGGAATGTACACTTATACAACCACTTTGGAAAGCAGTCTGGAGGGTCCTTAGAAAGCTAAAGATTGACCTCCCTTACGACCCAGTCATACCACTTCTAGGCATCTACCCTGAACAACAGGAACCAATATACAAGGACACGTGCACCTCCATGTTTATTGCAGCACTGTTCGCAATAGCTAGGATATGGAAACAACCTAGGTGCCCCACCACAGATGAATGGATCCAAAAATTGTGGTATCTATACACAATGGAATATTATGCAGCCATTAGAAATGACAAAATAATGGCATTTGCAGGGAAATGGATGGAGCTAGAAGGAATCATGTTGAGCGAGGTAAGCCAAGAACGAAGAGACAAACGGTACATGGTCTCCCTCATAAGTGGATGCTAAATCCAAAAGGTTAGTGATACGACAAAACTAACAGGACTTAAGAAACAAAGAACTCCCGCTCATCTGGTTGAACCACTACTAAATATCCTCATGCTGCTGATCACAAATATGGTATATAACATGTGAACACTGTTATATATTACAGACTGTGGTAGACAATTTGCTCCAGGGAAGTTAGAATGAACTTGTGACTTTGAAATTATGTAATCATTTAATCACAATCAAAAAAAAAAAAAAAAAAAAGAACCTCGGGGAAGGGAGGGAGGGAGGGGATGGTAGGGGGAAAACAATGGAGGGGGTAACAATGTTCAAGAGGAAGTGTACTCATAACCTCACTCATGTAACTGTGACCCTCTGTATAGTAGCTTTACAATAAAAAAATAAATAAATAAATAAAAAAAAAAAAAGACAATAGTAGCACAGTGGTTCAAATGGTAGAGCACCAGCTTTGAGTGAAAAAGCTAAGGGACAGCACTGAGGCCTTGAGTTCAAGCCTCAGTACTAGCACATATGTGTGCTAGCCCACATACTAGCACATGGTTGTTGATGGCTGGATATATTTTAGTGGTAGAGCATGTGCCTAGCATGCAGAGGCACTGATTTCTATCCCAAGCATAGCAATTAGTCAAGCAATAATTACATTTTAGGTGTAAAAATGTAAAAAATGAAATTATAAAATACACTAAAAAGATAAATGATCATCTGGGAGTAAGGAGTAAATGAAATGGTGTAAAGAAAGCGATCGATTTGATAGAAATTTAAAACCTTAGTGGATCAAACACATAAGCCAAAAAGCTGTGGATACTAATGGTTGTTAACTGGAGTGTTGAGTAGGCTCACTATACTACTGTTTCTCCTGTTGCCAGTCTGAAATTTTCTATAATAAAACACTTTTATAAAGGATATGATTTGCAAAACTAGGAAAGAAGCTGCAATACATGAGAATTAAGATCCACCTTAATTTTTTTTAAAGCTCTTTACAAATCTCAGAAATATACAGTGACCACAACAGGATATATAAACATAGTCTGCGATATGTGGGAAAGATGAGCAGTACTGTGAATCAGAGAAATGCAGAGTAGTACACACATATTTTTTTTGCCAGTTGTGTTAAGAACCATGTTTTTGCTTAGGAAAATATTGTTACCTTTGACAAAGGAATATTTTTCAAAAATTATACTAAAGCCTAAATATAAAATGGGGAGATGAATACTCATCTTGCACAGTCACTGTGAGATGACAGGTAACAAGGGTCAAGAATGTCATTGTTTGGATTAACAGGTAGCAGCCTGCATACCAGAACAGTGGTTGGAGCATTCTGCTACGGGGACACCTATTCCCCAACTAGAAAATTTCAGCCAGTTTTTATCGCTATCTGCACACAAGTTATCTAACAGTGAATTCAGGTAATATTTTATTTTTACTTTCATAAGCACAGTACAAGAATTTCTTTTTTGCAGGTTTTAGAAAGATTTGTACTTTTACTATAGCCAAAAATCTGTCGAGATTTTGTAATGCTGTTACACTTGGAATATCTATTTTATAATAATACCCTGGGCATATTTATTCTGTTAACTCTCTTCCAAACTAAGCACTTAGCACTTACACAGCACAGGAAAATTTGTGGAGTTTAAACTTTAAATTGAAAATCTCTTGTTAGACTTTTTTTAAATTTTATTTTGTCAGTCGTGGGGCTTGAACTCTGGGTCTGGGTGCTGTCCCTCAGCTCTTCAGCTCAAGGCTAGTACACTACCACTTGAGCCACAGCACCACTTCTGGTTTTTTGAGTGGTTTTTATTGGAGATAAGAGTCTCACAGACTTTCCTGCCCAGGCTGGCTTTGAACCATGATCCTCAGATCTCAGCCTCCTGAGTAGCTAGGATTATAGGTGTGAGCCTCCAGCACCCGGCTTTGTTAGACATTTTAAAATGTGGCCTAGTGTTTGTCTAGCATGCCCAAGGCACTGGGTTTGATTGCAAGCACTATTAAAAGACAAAATATGTTAAAATGTGTTTTTGTTTTGTTTTTCAATTTCATTTAATTTCATTTGTAAAGACTCAACAGTTATTGATGTGGTTCTACAGCCTGGTGTTTTACCCAGTGGTAGCCAGTCTCTGCTCTGAATGTCCCTGTTGCTGCTCTGATAAACCACCTGTCCAAAAACTAAAATGAAAGTGGCTGAAGCCGGGCGCTGGTGGCTCATGCCTATAATCCTAGCTACTCAGGAGGCTGAGATCTGAGGATCGCGGTTCAAAGCCAGCCCGGGCAGGAAAGACCGTGAGACTCCTATCTCCAATAAAAACCACCAGAAAACCGGAAGTGGTGCTGTAGCTCAAGTGGTAGAGTGCTCGCCTTGAGCTGAAGAGCTGAGGGACAGCGCCCAGGCCCAGAGTTCAAGCCCCACGACCGACAAAAAAAAAAAGAAAGTGGCTGAGATTTGTAGTATTTCTTTATACCGAGTATAAATACTCCAGTCATTTTCCCATAATGGCTAGGCCTCCCATTTTGGCCTAGCCAACAACCTTATAGCAACTCAGCACTACTGAAACTTCTTTGTTTTCCTGCTTTTCACAGGCATTCACCAGAATGCACTTATTAATAGTCTGTGTTTGAACTTTGTGATTATAGTCACATTACTTAATGACTAGAATACATTCTAAGAAATGTATCACTAGGCAGTTCTGTTATTGGACAAATGATGTAATTACACACAAATCTAGATAGTATAACCTACTGTACTCCTAGGCATGTGTGTGTGTGTGTTGTACTCTGTTGTTCCTAGGGACTTGTTAAATAAAGCATACAAGAATAAATCAAATATAAGGGAAAAGGAGGCATTCAAGAGATGCAGCACCCACAAGACATATGAGGCTGCAGTTGGCAGCTTTACTCTTTTGTAAATGACCAAGCACACTCTAAAATAATGAGTAGAAGTATAGTGTAGTAAATACATGAGCCAGTAACCTAGTCATTTATCAAATATTAGTACTACTATACATAACTGTATTACTGTGCTTTTCATTATTTTATTATTTATTACCTCCAGCAGGTTTCTTTATACCAGCACACCACAAACACATGACTAAGTGCTGTATATCATATGACCGGCATGTCACTAGGCGATAGAAACACTTCAGCAGTTGCCTATTAACTAAAGTATCACTACACATTCCATTACTGTATGTGAAGGAAGTATCTCTTCATTTTATGCTATTTTAGATTATCAGTTTAAGGTAAAACTTCTGCTAGATTATTAAGAATTATTCAGAGTTGATTACTGTGCCTTATTTCCCATACCATTTTTGTAGGGTTTGGGATGCTAAACATACACTCTGCCACTGAGCTTACACCCCAGCCCTGATTACTTTCATTTTTAAAAAGTTTTGTTTGTTTTCCAGGAATGAAGTGAAAGACGTAATTCTCACTCTGGTGAAAATAAAAGCTGTGAATCAAGCAGAATCTATCATAGAAGAGTATCACCTAGACCATCTTACACCTCTAATTAAAGAAGTTTGATTAAACTTTCTAAGAAAGTACTGAAGTTACATCCTTTGCCAACAAAGCTGGCACATCTGTACTCCATAGGATTTGTAAAAGGGTAGAACTCCCTCCCATTCTCCACACTACCTTCCCATGTCCTGAAGAGTGTCCTCTCTGATTCTTCTTTCCCAGTTTAAGAGGGAAATTGGAGAAATGTGGCATGTAGCTCTATTTTGGCTTAGCTAAGCATAAAACTCTCTTAAGTTGTGCTTTTTATTGTAGTTATTTGCAAATATAGAAATGTTAATTAGAATTATTTGTAAAGTGTTAAATGACTTAAGTCATTTTAAAACATTTTACAAGTGATAGTCCAACTGTTCTTCAGGAATCTTTCTACAAATTTGTTATATAATCACAAGCCTCAACAATTTTAACAGGTAATTTTTTTAAAAAAATTACTTATTGCAGATGATTAAAAAGAATCTTAGGTATTTGTTGGGGCTGTTGAGAATGAGCATGTGTTGTGTCCATTTGTAATTCTTCTTGAAATGACTGTTACTTTTTTCTTACAGACTTATGACACCTTTATATTTTCAAAATACTGTTTTTCTCTACTTGGCAATTTTCCTTAATTGCCACTTTTCATACTACGTAAGATGTTTTCTGGTGCCCTAAGTCATTACTATTAGGGAGTTATTACTTTTCTCTCTCTCTCTCTCTCTCTCTCTCTGTGTGTGTGTGTGTGTGTGTGTGTGTGTGTGTGTGTTAAAGAATTGCCACTTTTCATACTACGTAAGATGTTTTCTGGTGCCCTAAGTCATTACTATTAGGGAGTTATTACTTCTGTGTGTGTGTGTGTTAAAGAGGGAACCAGTATTTTAAACACTGAAAACATGTCACTTGGTTTCTGATAAAGTATTTTTATAAGTCTGAGGTAAGATATAAAAATTAAGAAAAAAATTTAAATTGAGTTTTTATAAAATTATTCAACGGAAACCCCAAATGGATACTTTACAAATTGGCTTCCAAAAGGTAACTGGAAAAAAAAACTAACATTATAGGATCTGAATGTGTGGCCTACTTTTCTAGTTACATGAAACTTGTCTTGTTATGTTATCTCTACTGCATTGAAGACCTGTAGTTCATTTAAGGATTTTTTAAAACTTTCTATTAGTCACACAAATTATAAAATCACATGTAAGAAATTCAAACCATTGCTGTTTGCTAGAAAGCATGTTGCACCCCTACACAACTACAAACCCAGCTACAACTGCTGTCTTCATTCTGAGTTTATCTTTTTTGATGTTTTCATTATTTGCAAAAATGTATGTGTTCAGTTTTGTAGTTTTTTTTTTTTTTTTTAATGGCAGAGATGCCAGGCAGAATAAATGGCAGATACTCTGTTGTATATGAAACTTGTAAACGTTTTTTTTTTTTTGGTCTGGTCGTGGGGCCTGAACTCTGGGCCTGGGCACTGTCCCTCAGCTCTTCAGCCCAAGGCTAGCACTCTACCACTTGAGCCACAGCACCACTTCTGGCTTTTTTCTTTTTTGCTTATGTGGTGCTGAGGAATCGAACCCAGGGCCTCAGGCATGCAAGGCAAGTGCTCTACCACTGAGCCACCTTCCCAGCCTGAAACTTGTAAACTCTTTTACTATTAAAATACTATCTTCTGACTTGAATTTTTAATTAGTAAATGTTCTATTCTTAACCTAGGATTTTTTTCTATGGCCTCCGGAGTCCTGGGATTACAGGCATGCACCATATATTTAGATACTATTAAAGGCTCTATTTTGAAACATGATGGTAGACGTTTCAATGTTCATTACAGATCAAGTCATATAATATTCCATATTTGTGATTTATTTCACAGTTTATAGACACAGTTCCCTCAGTCCCCTTGTTCAGATTCCATGCTCAGGAAGAGCCTTCTGGTAATGATGCATTGGTCCAACTGTGGCTTTGCCTACAATGAAAGAATGATCACACAATTCTGGGATGATATGATTCTCTTTCGTGGCATAATAAACATGAACAAATTTCATTTATTTAAAAAATACTAAGAAAATAATGACTTAGTTTACTGAATAATTGTGTTCTCATAAGTTTTCCAATAAGTCCTCTGAGAGCCAACACATCTTCTACTGCTACCAATTGTGTTCTCAAAGTCAGGATGTTTTTGAGGCTTGGATTTCATCCCATATTGCAGCTTCAAGCTTTGAAGTATCATATTCCCTCATCATATCAAACTCCAGCCAAGGCTTACTCCACTTCTGAGCTTCCTTCATTTGTTCTTCAGTTAAAGCAAGATCAAATCTGATTCCTTTAATATTGAATTGTGGACGTTCCCAGCGCTTAGACCAGGGTTTAGGTTTCATTTTTACTTTCAGCTAAGGAAGATAGTAAACAACTAAGTATTAGCCTGATACAAATATTTTTAAAAAATTATTTTTTTTAAGAAATGGAATTCTTTTTTCCATCTTTTTTTTTTGGCCGGTCATGGGGCCCGAACTCTGTGCCTGGGTGCTGAGGAGCTCTTAAGCTCAAGTCTAGTGCTCTACCACTTGAGCCACTGTGCCACTTCCAGCTTTTTCTGCTTCTGTGGTGCTGAGGAATTGAACCCAGGGCCTCATGCATGTAAGGCAAGCACTCTACCACTGAGCCACTTTTTATAAGAGGATTTCTTTGTTGCTTTGTATGTCCCTCCCCCACGGTCTAACCCTTGCTTTCACTTTATTTGAGGTTGGTATAATTTGTGGAGGGGAAGGGCAAAAACAAATAATTTAAATAGGGATACAGGTGGACCCTTGCAACAATGAGATGTACAAGTCTTTATGTCGAAAAACTAACTTTACAACTTTGGGGGGTGGGAGGGAGATGGAAAGGGATGGGAAAGGATGGGAAGGGATGGGAAGGGGAAACAAAGGAGGAGGCAACAATGCTTGATAAGAAATGTACTAATTATCTTGCCCATGTAATTGTAACCCCTCTATACAGTATTTTCATAATAAAATAAATTTCTGAAGCTTTCATTAAGATGGAACACAGGATTTCATGCATGTGAGACAAGAGGGCTACACCCCTGAGATGATTCTTTAGTATTTTATACTTATATTTCTAACTCAAAATATACAACTTATACCTCATTAATAGGAACTTCCTGGTTCGACTCTGATATTACTGGTTTCATATTCATATCAAAAGTGCTATACTCAGGAAGGGCATCACGTAAGTACATCAAGTTATCATCCAGCCGTTTCTCTAATTTGACTACTTGGATCTCATGGATTCGAGGATTATACAGTTCAAAGCAAATCTCAACACCTAAAAAAAAAAAAAACCACAGTCTTACAATCCAAGTCACCTTGAAAATGCCTCAAATACATAAAGCAACTAACATAAAGATACTACAAGAAGAAAACAAGAAATTTACAATTTTTAAGATGAAACTTACTGAAAAAAACCTAAATCTGTCTAAATTAAAGATTGAGATTAATGCTTCCATCAAAGAATGGAAATGGAAAGACTTGGAAAAATGGTATTAAGCAAAGGATACTTTGAAGGTATGTAAATACAGGAGTTTGCCATCAAAGATGCCTACATTGCCTAGGAGAGGATCACAAGGGCTCAATAGCTATGTGCATAGGACCATATAAAGTGATGCTGAAATGAATTCCAAGAAATGGAAACAAGTGTTTTCTTATTGTACGGTTTATTCCCTTTTGTCACCTTTTGATTTCTGTAACTTTTGTATATAAGTATCTGATTTGGGGAGTGGAAGGGAAAACAAAAATGGGGGACAAAGGGTGAACCAATTCAGCAGTGATACTCACTGGATACTATGTTAAAAATGAACTACATACTATTTAGGGGGGAGGGAAGTCTGGAGGGGAAAAACTGGGAGAAAATGGGAGAGGGTAACACTGCCCAAAAAGAAGATACTTATAACTATACCCCCACTGTTTATCACCTTTACAATAAAATTTAAATTACAAAAAGATAAAAAGAACAAAAAGTAAGGAACCCTAAATGACAATGACTTAAGTCTTAAGAAGACTTGCCCTCTACAAATATGTTGTCCGAGAGTGCTTTAATTCTTGTGTAAGTTTAGAGAAAGACTGAGCATGTGATGTCTTCTCCATGTGTTGTCCTTTTTGATTTCCCAATGGACAGATTCAAAATAATCATCCCTATTAAAGTAACAAAACTAATTATGTAAAATTAATAAAAAGCTGTGCTGGTGGTTCATGCCTGTCAGCTATATAGGAAGCTGAGATCTGAGGATCGTTAAAAGACTGGGTAGGTAAGTTCATGAAACTTTTATCTCCAGTTAACCACCAGAGGAGCTGTGGCTCAAGTGTTAGACCACCAGCCTTCAATAAAAAATAAAAAAAAAAGCTAAGGAGCAGTGCCCAGAATCTGAGTTCAAGACCCAATACTGGCCAACAAAAAGAAGTAAACATTTGAATTCTAACTGATGACAGTTTTTATTAGCACTAGAATCCTTTATGTGAAACAGACCAGCAACTATAATGAGATGCTGTAAGTCATCATTTTATATATGTTGTGAAACTCAAGAGCAAAGGTATATTTAAAGTTTATTCCAAAAGAAATATAAATGCTATGATATATACTCCACATTAGCTTTTAGTGTTTGGTACCAAAATGAAAGCCAATATTTACCATTCAGTATACTTATTCTATTTCAGACACTGACCTAGGAACTATGCCTACAGCAAAGCAAAACAAGATCATTCTCCTCCCATCAAGTTTACCTAGGAGATAACAGCAACCTTAAAAAAGACCATCAGGGAAAGTCTCACTGATAAGATATCTGAAATGGCACATAAAGGGCCAAGAAGCCCCAGACAGAACAAGCCAGTATAGTGACACATATTTGTAGTCTTAGCTACTGTAAAGGCTGATACGGGAATATCAGTTGAGCCCACAAGACTGTCAAGGAAAGGAAAGAAGAAAAGGAAAAGAAGAGGAAAACATTCCCAATTAAAAAAAAAAGGTAGATCAAAAAAAAAAAGAAAAACAGGAGGGAAGAGAAAGGGAAGAGCAAATATGAAGGCTGTGGGGTATGAAAAACGAGACATGCTGAGAAAACCAGGGAAAGGATCACTTGGTAGAAACACAGAAATACACCAAGCAAGGGGAGCATGGATGTGTCCCCTCCATGACACATGGTGAAAAGCCTGGTTCTACTGAGAAGTGAGACCTCTGGGTAAGCAAGGAACTCAGGAGTTGTCTGCCCTCATGAGT